TGACAGCAAAGTGAAAACCGAGGAAAATTGCTTCTGATTGACAGAACAAACAGGTAAAGAAAAAGTATCAGTCAGGTGTCATCTTCAGAGCTTTTTGTTTGTCTTAGGTAAATCACTCCCTTTCCACCTCTCTAGAGATGTTTGTGTAGAAGCAGCTAAGAGTAATTGACAAGCAGACATGCAGACAGAGGGATCCTTATTGGAGGCAGGGAAGAGGGGGGCTGCAGTCTAATGTTATATATATATATATATATATATATATATATATATATGTGCTTCCTCCATTCACTCAAAAAGAATACTTACTACTCAGTAATAAGCTTTTGCAAGGCAATCTGTATGTTATAGAAGAGTCTTGCACAAGTTTGAGGAGGCAGAGTGGTGGCTTAGGGTGCTGTAGTTATGGAAGCTAAGGGTGAAGTTTAGTGTTTGGGACAAGAAGATTTCTGTGACAAATGAGATAGCTCAGATACAGTAAGCTTCTTGCAAGATCTTGCCTAAAATTGTTTCGGTGATTGTACCAGCTGCCTTGGTCTAAAGAAATGTTCGATTCAGATCTCTTCAGCTGTAGAAAAGCATAAAAGTATTTTTTGAATCTGAGTTTTGAATTCAATTTTCCATTTGCTTTTCTCTACCTCTCTCTGGTAGAAGGAACGAATGAGGGGTTTAGGCTATTTTATGAAATAATTGTTTGATCATAGGATCTCTCTATTTGTCCAGCAGTCCATCTGGGTGACTTGAGGTCCTGCTGAAGCCCTCAAGTGTGGATCTCTCAGAGCTGTGGTATTTCTGTGGTTCTGTGAAACCTAGCAGCTGACTAAAGAAAGACCCATGTAGTGCCCAACTCCATAAGAGAGGGATTCTCTTGTCACTGTGAGGAGTAGCTGGATGATCTTAGCAGTCATAATTCCTACATGTGCTGGCATTTGCTTCCACAAAGAGGATAAAAATGGTGGGGAGCTTGTGTGGGCATGAAGGTGAAGATGAGATATGGTACCCACATCTTGTTTGGCTTCCTCATTTCCCCTGCTCCAGGTGTATCTTGGTTTTCTTTCTGTTTCCTTTGCTGCCTTTTTCGTTTGTTTGTTTATATCATCTGTCAAGTTTGTCATTATGTGTTCATGCACATAAAATCTTTATTAGCCATGCATATTCTCTATTCTCTGTTTTAATTTTCCTTCCTTCCTTCTTTGTTAACAAACTGCTGATTGCAGATGTTTCCCATTTGACAGCACCTGAGACTAAGGTTTTCCAGCCACACAACCAGTTGAGTCCTGGCTCTTTTCCTCTGGTCACCCTGCTGTGCAGGATGGGGCTGTTCCCTGGTAGAAGCAGGGAATGAGCCTGACCTCCCAGCCAAACCTGGGGTCACAGTCCTCCTTGAGATCAATAGAACAGAAGAGAAATAGAAGTTGAGCTGTGACCTTAGGTGTGGCTATAAACAAGGGTGTTCAGAGTCCACATCCTTGTGCTTATTTTAGTCTCTTTGAAGCAACTGGCCAAAGGAGAGGTGAATCACGGTCAGTGGTGAGACTAAGAAGGTCCTTTGTGCTCTGTGTCCCACTTGATCTGCTTTCAAAAGCCCTTGAATACGTATCTCCTTCTCACCAACTTAACCACAATAGGACCCTACTCTGAAAATATCAAAGAACGTATCTCCTCACTAGTTCCGAGGGTTAGTGCTGTCTCCCCTGTTGTAAGTGAAAATTGGGTAAAAGGAGTTTCAGGTGCTTTGCACCAGTTTTCCCAAGTCAAAATGCTGTACTGATACCTTCTACAAAAGGACCTAGTTTGCACCTCGGGTTTTAATGATAGGTTTATTTCTTAAAATACACCTTGAACAATAAAGGACCATGCAATTGTGTGGACATGTATTCAAGTTATGGCTGGGCACAGTGAACATCCTTCCCTGAGGATCATGGTGAGAGGAGTGTCTCTGCACCAGTATCTCTTGAAATCCTTCCTAACAAATCCTTCCCTAGAGAGTCTTCTAAGAGATTATTCTGCCTTGGACAGGTGCAGTGAATAAATCATCTTATGGTCCAAGCTTTTTATGATCCTTTAATCTTACCACTTCTTCCAGAATATCAGTTTAAGAGACACCAGTAAAGCGTTTGCACTGTCTGTGTGGGAATGGCATAGCCTCTGTGCCCTCTCTGCTTTGCACTTCAGAAACCCTCCACGGTTTTTTGACCTAGGTTTTCAGTAGGGGTGAGAGTTTCTTCTCAGGATCTGATGTCACCCAGCATTTGAACTTCAGTGGCTACAAAAGTGTAAACCACCACTTTTCCATGGGGGATGAATCTTTAAACAGTGAGTCGGGAAACAAAACTCTGGGACACCTTTCACTAATTCCTGGTTTGTCATTTGCTGCTTGGTCTGTGTCCTGGTTACATAAATAAATAGAGGACTTTCTTGGCCAATGTCCCATAATTGTTCCACAACAAGGGTAGCTACAGGGAAATTAATAGCTGAGTCCACAGTAAAAAGATGCTCAATCAGTGTGCTTGTGGTAAAGCCCTTTTGAAAAGGGACTCAGATGTTAGCATATATGAGACATTTATAAACTAAGTGGTCAGGAAGGCTGGAGTCACCCATGGAGGTGAGGGCTGGGTAAGAACCATGGTAAGGGACACTGGGGGGCAAGTGAGTAGAGTGGTCAGATAGAGGAAGATCTCGGAGGCAAGACCAAGTAGCTTGACCTTGATAAGATGGGGAAGAGGAGGTGGCTGAGAAGAGTCTTCTTGTTCTGCCAGAGCAGACTTTTTGTTTGCTGCCTGTCGCTTGTACCACGGAGGTGTGCTTTCCTTCTTCAGTTGTGTGCAGTTCTTCCTTCTTGAAAAGTTGCTTTCAGTGTCAAGCAACATCATGGTCTATTACGGTGTCATTTTCATGTTACACGAACAACGCAAAAGCAGAAGATGTGAACGTCATGTCTCATTTACTCAGTTGCAGAGTCGTTCAGGGGCATCTTCTACTTGTGCTGATCGTCTTTAAGCCGTAGATGGGCTGCAGTCCTGGAAATGCATCATGTATTTCTTAGCATTACAGCCACTATAGTAGTGAAGATGGGGACAAGTCCTGAAGGATACATCAGTGAAAGCCCCTGCAAATCACAAGATCTAGTTCTACTGCTCCATATAATTAGCGATTAAGATGAGTAAAAACAAAGCAGCAATTTTCTTATTGATCCCTCAGCAAATAGTTCTATTTTCTTCTGTATTGTTTCTTCTTATTAAATAGCCTTGAATAAGAAATGTCAGTCAAGTGAATTTAGATTCCTGGTGCTTTAGACAGAAATCAAAGCAGGATTGAATGAGGAAAGATAATTAGAGAGAGGAATTCCACCTCCACAGACTTCCTCCCTTGCTCGAGGAGTGCTGATTTTATCTAAATTGCCAAAGCTGTGAGCAAATGAGGGGTGATGGGAATTATAGACTGCAGACGCTGAGACAAAGCAAGGGAAGCTTCAATTAGTGCATTTTAAGGTAGAAATGAATTTCCTGGGAATAAATTATTTGACTCAAGACATACAGAGCTTCTTAGAGACAAACTGAAAAGCTTTTTACCTGCCAGAACCAGAGTTCACATGTTGTATCTGTCTCATAGAAATGAGTGACCATCACTGGCATGTGAAACACATGGGGAAGAATTCTCTTTTCCTTTGCATCTGTTTATTTTAATATATATAGAGAAAGGAATTATCATTTCTGCAGATTCCCATCAATGCAACAGAAAAGATTTTTTCAATACCCACATTTTCTTTATCACTAACATTAAGTGTCAGTGATTGACCTACAGTTGCTGAGGAATTGGGAATTGCGTATTGAACATACAGGTACTGAAAGGAAGTGATTTTCCTTTCAGATTCTCCTCTTACCCTCCTTTCTCAGCTCTGTTGTCATCCTTTCATCACACTTGTACACATGTAGGACACTGTGAACCTTAGAAACTGACCTTTACGTTTTTCAGCAGATTTCCATAGCTTTTCAAAGGGTGAGAGCGTGACAATTCTCTGTTACTCAGAGGTGGATAGAGATTCGTGTCTGAATTGATGGAGCTGAAATGGAACGATTTAGCTGGGTGTTTTAATCCAGAACTCCCTGACTTCAGCAGAATTATTCAAGCTCTTAATTATTCAGCAGAATTATTCAAGCTCTTTATATATTCTGTGTGAGGCAGTTGCTCACAAACCTTGTTGAAAACTGGGCAAAACTGGGGCCAGGACCAGATCTAATGGTTATGTTATGGGAGTGCTTACAGACGCCTGATACAGGTACTGCACAAGCGCAGAATAAAATGGTTTTGCCCCTCCAAGAGCAACACTGTTCTCCTCTGTTCTGAAAAGTGGGAATGTAAGCACATTGAGAGGTTGGCAAATGGGCAGGCCACCTTTCCAACAGCTTGGGGTTTTCTGGCAATGGCAGTCTACATGAGATACGAGTATGCCCCATCCCTGGAAGTGTTTAAACAGCTTGGACAGGGCTTGGAACAACCTTGTCTAGTGGAAGGTGTCCCTGCCCATGGCAGGGTGTTGGAACTGGATGATCTTAAGGTCCTTTCCAACCCAAACCATTCTGTAATTCTGTCATCTGGAAAATTGCCCTGTCCGCCCTTCCTGGGATGCGCCACCACTCATGATCTTCCAAAAATCCAACTGTGCTTCCAGCCAAATATGTAAGATAATAACAAGTGGGTTAGAGCAGAGGGATGACCTAGTGGTTTCCGCTCAGTCTTTTTGACAAAGGAACCTCATGAAAGCCTAAACACCCCATGCCTGCTCTGGGAAAACAGGTATCCTGTTCGCTAGTTTGTCTAATGTTCCAGTTGCCTATTTCAGGTGTTGCTATTTTGTCCTATAGGTTAATTTATATTACCCGTGATGAATGAATGCAGTCAAGAGGTGTTGAACGCTAATATGTTTATCTTATGGCAAGATAGAAATGTTGCAAACTTGTGAGCTACAGGAGGAAATGGGCTAATTTTAGATTTGTTCCTAGCCCTCGCCATGCGAATGGTGTCGCTGCGAGCCCAGCAATGAAGTTCACTGTGTTGTAGCAGACTGCGCAGTTCCTGAGTGTGTCAACCCAGTCTATGAACCAGAACAGTGTTGTCCTGTCTGCAAAAATGGTAAGAAAGTACTGTGTTGGCTTTAACAAACAGACATAAAGGAAACAGTTTATTAAAATGTTGTTACTGATGCATCGCCAGGAGATTTGCTTCCATTGGCACAGGGTAGTGGTGGGTCTGTTGCTTCCCCTTGTGCCTGGGCTTCATGTACAAGGTGGCGACTGTGAAAACTAAGGCTTCCCTTCCTGGCCTGTGTCTTCTCATTGAAACTGATGGGACTGCTGACTTAAGTAAGGCATTACAGGAGCGAGTCCTGGTATCTGAGATAGTGGCTTCATGTCTTTGCTTTTTTCTCATAATTCGTCTAACATGAAATCAACTATATAATTAAAAAGAGAGTTTCTGTCCTAAATTAAGAAACCAATTATTATTACCTAAAACTAGGGGAAAATTCACAGAAATTGATGGGAAAACTTCCATTGGGGGTGATAAAACACCCACCAAGCCTGTAACATTGTTAGTTGTGTGCTGGAGTCTGTGTGTGTAGTGTTGGCCCCCGTTGCCCTTCTGAAAAGATTTAATGAATTGAAGTCTAATATAGCAATACTTTCAAGAAAGGTTTTGGGATGACTGAAGGTGCCTCTTCAAAAAAGAAATCTGTTTCCAAGAAGGTCTCCCCACTCTTGTATCACAGCCTGTATGCACATATGTCTCTGGAAAGACATCTTTCTAGTGCACGTATGAAGAGAGATTGAAAGATGAGCTAGCATCACATAAACATCTTCATGGCTTTCTTGACATATAAGAAATAGCTACTTAGTCTCATCTTCTTGTGATTGGAATTCACTGTCCATATATATTTCCTCTTGCATACATCACCACTGCTGGATAAGAGTAATGGTTGCTTTTGGATCTAAATGAAAATGTTTAGAAAGAAATAACATTTTCAACACATTTTCTGCTCATTAAGATGGAGAAAAAGCAAAGAGTTGGAAATGCAAAATATTTTTACTAAAGGAATTGGCATAAATAATTCTAGTCTGGAAAATTGTACCCAAAATACTACTTGTAACCTTGAGGTTTATATTAACCAATTATTTTTACTCAAAAGTGTTTGAAAGGTTTTCATTTAGAGCTTTATGTTTCTATTGAAAAGCAGAAAATGTTCACAGGAAATGTCATTGGGTTGTAGTTGGGGATGAACTTAAGAGAAAAGCTGTGTTAACCAGATCTGTCCACCACCTTCATGTATGTCCCACTGCGCTTGGGTGTGAGGTTTCCCATTGCACTCTGCAAGATTGGTGTCTTGGGTTGATGACTGGGAGGGGTAACAGTGGCCATTGCCGTGCCTGTCACCACAGCTCAGATTCATTTACACCCAAACAAATGCCTCTTGTGTGTGTTTGGCCTCTGTGTTCCCATCAAGTACAGGGTGCCATGCTGAATGCCCCTCATTTACAGTGGCAGCACTTGTCAATTCCTTCCCATCTGGTTTGCTTCACATGAATCCAGCCTGTGAGCAGGCTTCCCAGGAGAGTATACTCAAAGGTGGCTTCACATGGGTCCAGGAGCTGCTGGATTTCCCTATCAACACCATGACCACTTCCTCTGATAACCAGACTCCCCCAGTTCAGGGGGTTGGTGGCTTTCTGTGTTGTAGTCCCCAACATATCTGGTGACCAGGAAAGGGCATCTTTCTTCTAAAGACAATCAGAGTGCCCAGGTAACAAGGAGGACAGGGAAGGAAGCAGCTCCTACTGATGGGAATGAGGATGGAAGGACAGAAAGAAAATCAGACACCTGGTGAAGAGGCTCCAGGGCACAGTGTAGTGATTGGAACTAGGAGCCAGGAGGCTTCCTCCATGGTTTTGCCGAATTTCTCCACTCCTGTCTTCGCTCATTAGTTGGAGGTATAGATATAAAATTGTCTGAAAACTATTTTAGGCAGGGAAGTATTTCTCACCATCCTCTTAAAAGCAGCCTCTATGCCTTGGGGATCCTGATCTCTGGGGCCAGGGAGACCAGGTCTTGCAGCAACAGCGCCAACAGCTCCCTTCATCCATCCAACGGTGGGTGGAGAGGCGGTGCAGTGGCGTGGCTGTTCCTTCGGGGGTGCTGTGGAGGGGAGCTGAACGCTTTCTGCCGTCCCATCCTAGCTGTAGGTATGAAAACCCACAGCTGGCAGGGCTTCCTGCTCCTCCTGCAGAGCTGGAGATGACTGGCCAGGTTTGGCATTACCATTTGCAAATGAAATTAAATCATTCATACGATGTTAGAAGTCAGTAGGCACCAACCTAGTCTTCATTGTCACAGGGAATCTAATGGGCAGATTTTGTTACTGCTCTTGGATGTAGCTCCAAGTGTGGCGCACACCCCTTGCCTCCCTCTAACATTTTGGGAACTTCATGTGAAAGAGTAGCAGACGTTGCTATGGCTCTTACCCCTGTGAATCCCTCTGACACTACCTGATGAATGAGGATCACAGTGCTTTAAGCTGTCTAGTCATCTTGAGACCAGAATGTTATCTTTCAGCTCTCCGCTGCAGCCAGCCAATTAAAGCTCAGTCTTACAAATGCATGAAGATAACAAAAGCTGACAGACCCACTTAAATGACTGAAAATCCTTTTTTTTCTTTTTTTTAATTTATTTGTTTTTTTCTTCAGTCCAGTAGCTTTTGCTTTCTCCATAAGTGGTGAAGGCAGTTACAGTGCCGTGTTTCAGTGTGATGAAAAGATTTTAGCTTCATCTCAGTCCCTGCAGTCATCATTTTAGACTGGCAAACAGGAGAGCTCAGGGGATACAACTTTTGGGTGGATGGGGAAGTTAATCCCTAGAACAACATGTAGTGCAAATCCTCATTCCAAAAGCTACTCCTTAAAATTTTGGTAAAGATCCTCATTTTAGGTTAAAACACGACCCTGCGTTTGCTGCACTCTGCTAGCAGCATAGCTTACCTTCTTGTTTAGCTTTTGCTGCCATTAATGGAAGAATAATTTCCTCTCAATACACTCAGATAGTTTTTCACACCATTCTTAATTATGTCTTGCTAAGGGCAAAAGTGCTGTGAATCAGTGAGCACTGGCACAGGGTGCCCAGAGAAGCTGTGGCTGCCCGTCCCTGGCAGTGTTCAAGACCAGGTTGGACAGGGCTTGGAGCAACCTGCTCTAGTGGAAGGTGTCCCTGCCCATGGCAGGGGGTTGGAACTTGATGATCTTCAGGTCCTTTCCGACCCTAACTATTCTGTGATTCTACGATAATGCAAAAATCTGTTGAATCTAACATACCTGACCTGAAGATACATAAAAAGCCAATACCAATTTCCCTCCCCCTACCATCATTTAAGAGCAGTCTGAACAAGTGGCTTTGGAGATGTATTCCTTACTGTCAAAAGAAACTGAAGTGTTATGTTGTGCTTCACTAAATGCTGTAGCTCATGCAAAGTTGACTGTGCTTTCAAGGAGTACTGCATTACATGTGGAACAGGCACTGGGAAGCTAAAATCTGGGGGTGAAGGAGAGAGAGGATGTTTTCTTCTCCATGTCCCATTGTCCAGTTTGTCAGAGTAGATTTTAAGGTCGATGGTTCCAGATGACATGCAGTGTTTCTGTCATGGAGATGAAAGGTCACTGGATTTCACTTTTCCTGGTAGTGGCAGACTGCAGAATTATGGCCCCGAGTTGTTATTTCGAGTCATTGTGACTTCTCAAGACAAAAGTGTGTCAGCTATTGTTAACTCTCTCCTCTGCAGGATCTAAAACTTGCCTGTCAGTGTCAAAATCAAGCTCAGGGCTGCCACCATCTGTGCTATCCCTCCTGCCCCCAGGTTCTTCTGCAGTTCAGTGAGAACATCCATCCGCTCTGCTTACACCAAAGCCTGTCAGAACAAAAATCCTCCATGTAGTCCCCATGCTTCTGGGCCCAGGGCTGCAGTGGTGTTAATCATACCTCCCCTCCATCTTCTCACCTAACCCTGAACTCTTCATTTCCGAACCTCTGCTTTTCCCTCCCCATAAATTCATCAGCCGCTGAGGGCTGAGCCTTGTTATTGGTGGGACCTGTGGTTCTTAAAGCCTTCCCTTACACATCACTGCAAGGTTACTCTTTACATTTCCTTCAACCCTTTGGTCATGGTCTGGCAAGAATGCAGGGATGGGAGGGGATCCCCAGTGTATCATCATTTGCACCGCTCAATCTGGTTTAAATGGGTTCCTCTTCTTTGCCAACTGCAAACAACTCTCACCTGCTGCTGTGCACAAAGGAAGAAATCCATTGTGTTTCAGCTTCCCCAGTGCTGTTTGTTCAGAGCCAAAGAGTGCCCAACATGCCCTTTCTGAGGGGGTGAATAGATGTGCTCCAGCAGGAAGTCCCCAGTTGGTCTTGGAGGTCCCTCCTCTAATGCTGTGCTGACTTAGTGACACACTGATCTTTGCCCACTGCTCTTAGAGGAGCTCAGTTTCATGCTGCTTGTGCATCTATCCATTGTTTGCTGCTCTTTGAAAGAAAAAACAGATGCAATTTCAAATTAGAGGCCTCCCAGGTGCTTGGGGAAAGGCTGGAGGTAAGTGGAGGCAAGGGAAGGGCAGCACAGGGCTCTGGCAACCCATGTTCTCCTGATTTTAGAAAGTGGTCCTTCAGAATCGCACCCAAAAATAAGCTCAACATTAGCAAAAATTCACCATCATGGGAGATTTTATGGCACAGCTGTGTCAGGAAAATTAATTTAAAAATTCTAACAAGTGCCACAATAGAATTGTTAACTTCTCCTCTCCGAAGTGTGAAATTCTTTTCAGAGGCTTTCAAAGGCGCCTTCACCCATTTACACATACATTAACACAGTTGCTAAAATAGGCTTTGCTGTGGCACTTCCATTTTCTTGAGGGATGAACAGAATAAGCATTATAAATTCCTGTTTGGGGATCTGGTTTTGCTTCTACTTTAATTTTTGTTGCCACTGATCATCAACAAAAGAATCCTTTACCCAACAAGACAGATAAAAGCGAACGTGTCTACAATGAAATACTTCCTGGCAAGTGTGCTTACTCACGTTAGCATGGGCTTCT